GTCCAAGATTAACCTTCAGGGTGGATATAGCTCGCTAGCAGCCTCGCACCGAGGACCTATCCACGTCATCATTTACCCAGAATGCTTCGTGGGTAAATAAAATGGCTCCGTCCGTCTTAAAATATATTTTTAAAAATTTACAAACTAAGCATCCTACAGTATTTTTTCAGTCTTTATTTCACAGTAAAAATAAATGTTTATTAAATAAAGTATAATGTTACAACTAATCTTGGATCCCTTTAAGGTAAAAATCAGTAAATTCCCACATATTCTCTTAGTATTTATTTGTTTTAAGACGTTTCTTGACATTTCCGTGCCTCCTTACCTCCCGCTGTGCAGACAGATGAAGCAGTGGGCCAAGCAGGCCACAAAGTCCTGGTCGTGGTTGCCCGGGCCGAGCACCAGGTTGCGGTTGACGGTCAGGACCCGCAGGGCGTCCAGCAGAGCCACCTGCTGAGCGACGGTCTTGTGGGGTCTGCAGAGCTGGTAGAGCACGGTCCGGTTCAGGCAGTGGTAGACGGTGTCCAGGGAGAGGCCCTGCGAACGCCTCTTGGACTGGAGAGGAGGCGGGAAACGTGTCGGTTACAACACCACGCTCTGAACCTGCGGGGACCGAGGCACTCGGTTGTAAAAACGCACCTGTCCGATCAGCTGCACGATGAAGTCCACCACCAGCTTGGAGTCCTTGTTGAACATGCCCTGCCACAGCTTGTCCACCAGCCGCTGGCTGAAGTAGAAGACGTTGTTGACCAGGATCTGGTAGCTGCCGCCGGTGCTGAGAGGGAGAGAGGCGTCTTCACCTGGAGGGAGACGAGCAGCAGGACGTTGGTTTAAATATGTACCTGTGAGGGCTCAAATCTCATATCAGGGTATGAACTGAATCTCTTCACAGTAACAGTTTATTATCACGGTAGAAAATGATCATAAAAAGCAAAGATAATGTAATTTTTAGAGCATTTATTTATCAGAAAACTGTAATCATAATCAAACAGTATTTTTGCTGTAGTGCAAATGAACAGAACAGAAATACAAAATAATATTTTATATTTTGTAAAACGGTTTCAACAACAAACAAAAACATTTCTCAAATGTTCAACAATTTCAAAATAAAGTGGATGTTATAACCAGAACTTCAAGTGAAATTAGTTTTTTAAACATAAAAATATTCTAAGTTGGCATAAGTTGTAGTTGTAGTGTGACAGGACCAAGGAGGTTCTGTAGAACAGCCGGAAACGCAGAAACCAGGTGACCATGTGATCGGCTGGAGAAGCTAACGGCTAACGCTAAACGGTCAAGAGTCTGGATTTCCCATTACTGTACATGTTGACAACAGAGCAGAAAAAAAGGACTGATGATGTAGAAATCATTAAAACTATTAATAATAACATTTATGCAATTATTATTAATATTTTACAGTTTATATAATCTATAGTGTCAGAAAAGCTG